GATGTTGCCAACAAAACTGGGATCACCTAAACTGAATCCACCCAGCTAATTTTAAATATAATTTTTAACCATAAAAAAATCCACATAGTATGCAAAAAAAATCCACATTGTAGGTACAATGCAACAGATAAATTTTAAGAGAAACAAAAAGAGGGAAAACTAGAGTTTTCCTTTTAATGGGCAATACTAAACATAGTGTCTTGTGACATACTTGGTTAGTAAAAATATTTACCACAAATGATCGATTACTAGATTAGTATGTATTACCGTATTAATATAATAGTGCCCGATTAAGGGAAGCAATTGGTAAGACTTGGGTGGGCCCCATGCAGGGGCTTCTGAAATGGCTGGCAAAATTCTCTTTCTTAATCTGATTGTTCACTCTATAACTCATTAAGTAAACATTGATTTTGCAACTTTTTGGCATCAGATTTATTTTAAAATATAAAGGTATTTTTAAATCTTTGTGAACCTATGTATTTCATCATTTTTTTTACCGTTTTTCTATTGTGCTATTAAGATGGACATGGGGACTTTTGAAAAATAGAGAAGACTGCACGTTTTACATTAAAAATTTGACTCCATAGAAGAGAGGGAGGGCTTCGCTATCAAGGTGAACTGAGGGTCCCAGGAAATTACGGCTTGCCAGCCAGGCTGTTAAAAACCAGCAGCCCCGTGGGCCTCCCCGGTGGCGCTGCTGGGCTGCGAAGCTGCCTGCAGCCTCTGCAGCACCGGTTCGATCCCAGGCTGCCAGGGAGGGTCCCACATGGTGCACAGACCCCTCTTGCCGCCCACTGCTCCCCTCAGCAGTGTGTTTCGTCAGTCTGCCTGTTCTGCTCCCTGCTCTGGCTCTGGTGAATTCTCTCACCCTCCTGCGCTTCTGACTGTACCCAGTGCTTGTATAAATAAATAAATAAATCTTTAAAAAAAAAAAAAAAAAAAACAGCAACCCCGAGATCCCCTTCTGGAACTGAGTAAAGACAGAGGTAGGGATTAGCAAACAAAGTTTAAGACAGGCATGTGATCTTCAGGGACAGCGCCCATCAACCCACCATAGCATCACTATCCTTGTGGAATCTGGCATACCAGTGCTGGACTCAGTCTGGCCACCAGTTTCCGACATCCCAGAAGGAGCACCCCAAAGAAATGCCCTCTAGCACCAGTGGCACAGTGGCCCAATGCATAGAGCAAATTAGAAAACAACAGAGAGAAGGAAAAATACAAATAACAGAGCAAGCTCTTTGGGAAAGGACATACCACAAAAAGAAAATCAGCCCCCAGAACTCATCGACAATAATGTGGAAGACCTTCTTTGCCTGCCAGATAGAGAATTTAGAATTGCCATGATTAAAATACATAAAGAAGATGAAAAGGAAATGATATGAGAAATACATTAATGAACTGAAGAATGAAATTGAGTCTCTAAAGAAGGAAATGAAGGAAATGCAGGATATTGAAAGATTAATGGCGAGATAAAGCACTTTGTGATAAGCAACAAAAACAGAATTGATGAAATGGAAGAACAAATCAGTACTCTCGAAGATACAGATTTAAAAGAACAAAAAAGAAAAGGATAGAGAAGTACAAAGGAAAAAGATTGAAGAAACACTTTGAGAAATATCTGACACCATGAGGAAAGGAAATATAGCAGCTATAGGAATCCCAGAAGGTGAGGACAGAGACAAAGGAACTGAGAACTTATTCAAGGAGATAATCGAAGAGAACTTCCCAAGCATGAAGAAGGAAATGAAAATATACATACGGGAAGCTGGAAGAACACCAAATTACCACAATGAAAGACAAACCACAGTAAGACACATAATAGTAAAGCTTCCAAGATTCCAAGAAAAGGAAAAAATAATGAAGCCGACAAGGGGGAGGAAACAGATAATCTATAAAGGAAAACCAGACTGACACGAGACTTCTCTGAAGAAACACTATGGGCCAGAAGAGAACAGAGTGACACATACAACAAACTCCAAGTCAACAAATGCCAACCAAGAATACTTTACCCTGCAAAGCACTTCTTTCTCTATGAAGGAAAACTAAGGATCTTCTCAGACAAACAGAATCTCCAGAAATACACTGCTACTAATCCCGCACTCCAAAAAATACTACAAGAAGTCTTAAAGCCAAAATCAACAGAGTAATGAATTAGAAGAACAGAATAAGGTAAGGAATAAAATCACACACACACACACACACACACAAAAAAAAAAATTGACAAATACAGACACAGCCTATCAGTGATAAATGGACCAAACTCATAAATAAAAAGACACAGAGTAGCAGGCTGTATCAAAAAAAATTCAACTTTCTGCTGTCTCCGGAAAAAAAATTTAACTACAAAAGATAAACAGACTGAAAGTAAAAGTGTGGAAAACTATCCTATAAGTAAATGGACCAAAAAAGAACACAAGAACAGCTATACTTATATCAGATGAAATAGACTTCAAACTGAAAAAGGTAAAAAGAGACATAGATGGACACTACATTATGATGAAGGGTACAATACATCAGGAAGATATAACATTCATAAACATATACTAAATGAAGGAGCACCAAAATATATCAGATAATTATTATCAGCACTGAAAACAGACATTAGAGAAAATAAATATATAGTAGGAGACTTCAACACCCCACTCTCACCAATGGATAGATCAATGAGACAAAAAATAAATAAGGACACTAGAGCCCTAAATAAAGACCTAGACCTCATGGGCTTAACAGACATTTATAGGACACTGCACCCAAAAAAAATCCAAGTATACATTTGCACATGGATCATTCTCCAGGATTGATCACATAATGGGTTACAAGACAAACATCAACAGATACATTAAGATCAAAAATCATACCAACTAGGGGCCTCCCCTGGTGGCGCAGCGGGTGAGTGCTGGGCTGTGAAGCAGCCCACAGCCTCTGTAGCACCGCCTGTTTGATCCCTGGCCGCTGGACGAGGGTCCCACATGGCGCACAGACTTCTCCTGCCGCCCGCTGCTCCCCTCAGCAGCGTATTTCGTCAGTCAGTCTGCCTGTTCTGTTCCCTGCTCTGGCTCTGGTGAATTCTCTCACCCTCCCGCACTTCTGACTGTACCCAGTGCTTGTATAAATAAATCTTAAAAAAAAAAAATCATACCAATTATCTTCTTATCTGATCATAAAGGCATCAAACTATAAATAAACCATGAAAAGAAAGCAAGGACCATCCTACTTGATGGAGATTGAAACCCACACTACTGGAAGACCATTGGATTAAAGAGGAGATCAAAGAAGAAATTTAAAAAATACTTTGAGACAAACGACAATGAGGACACAGCTTTCCAGAATGTATGGACACAGAAAGGGAGGTTATAAGAGGAAAGTATATGGCAATACAGGCTCACATCAAGAAACAAGAAATAACTCAAAGAAACAACCTGATATCCCATTTCAAAGAACTAGAAAAAGAATAACAAAAAACCCTGAAAATCAGTAGAAGAAAGGTAATCCTCTTACCCCTCACACCTCTGGCCTATACCCCAGTTCTTGTATGCATAAATAAATAAATCTTTTAAAAGAAGAAAAAAAAAGAAACAAGATAATAAAAATCAAAGCATAAATAAATGAATTAGAAATGAAAAAAAAATCCCAAAGATCAACGAAACCAAAAGTTGGTTCTTCAAAAAAATAAACAAAATAGAGAAACCTCTAGCCAGGCTCACAAAGAATAAACAGGAGAAGACACAAATAAAAAGGATCATAAATGAAAGAGGAGAAATTACAACAGACTCAGTAGAAATCAGAAGAATAACAGAGATTACTATGAACATTTATATGCAAACAAGTTCAACAATCTAGAAGAGATGGACAAATTCCTAGAACTACATAATCATCCAAAGCTGTATAAAACAGAAGTAGAACACCTAAGCAGACCAATTACAAGCTCTGAAATTGAAACAGTAATCAAAACCCTCCCCCAAAACAAAAGCCCAGAACCAGCCAGCTTCACAAATGAATTCTACCAATGTTCAGAAATAAGCTAGTGCCTATCCTACACAAACACTTTCAAAAAATTAAGAAGGAATGCTACCAAATATGTTATATGAAGCCAATATTACACTAATACCAAAACCAAAGACAACACAGAAAAAGAAAACTACAGGCCAATCTTCCTAATGAACACTGATGCAAAAATCCTCAATAAAATCTCGGCAACATGTATCAAAAGGATAATACACCACAACCAAGTGGGATTTATTCTAGGAGCACAAGGATGGTTCAGTATCTGAAAATCAATTAATATCCAAAACGTCAACAAAAGAAAAAGAAAAACCATATAATCATATCAATAGATGCTGAGAAAACATTTGACAAAGTTTAACATCTGTTTATGATGAAGGCCCTCAAAATTCTCAGGATAGAAGGAACATACCTTAATATGATAAAAGCTTATTGTAGCACTATTTACAATAGGTAATATGGAAACAACCCAAATGCCCCAAAATAGATGACTAGATCAAGAAGATGTGGTATGTAGACACAATGGAATACTATTCAGTAATCAAAAAAGATAAACTCATGCCATTCACGGCAACGTGGATGGAGCTGGAAGGGCTTATGCTCAGTGAAATAAGTCAGGAGGAAAAAAAAAATATCGGATGGTTTTACTTATAGGAGGAATATTTTGGAACCAAATAAGGGATCAGGGGGGGCAATAATAACAAAAAAAAATTGGCAGGCAACTATAAATCAGAGACATTCTGCGAGGATGAGGGAGAGGGATCAATACAGAGGAGGGAAGAGCACAAGGGACTAGAGTGACGGTGCACGGGTGAATAGGTGGTGGGAATTCTATGGGAACTACACCTGAGAGGAGAAAGCAAACATGGTGCGAAAATGAACTATGGTGTCAAATATATAAAAATAAATAAATTTTATCAAAAAAATAAAAATTTGACTCCAAAACCACCTGAACAAGTGAAAGTAAAGAACATGTACAGTTTGCGTGAAAAGAATTTGGAATTTTCCTTTATGGTAATCAATGTGTATGAAAGGTGTGGTTAGAATCATTCCTAATAACTAACTTGATATTTGGCCACATTCACAAAAATAGAAATCTAAAAGAGACAAGATGAAGGCTGTTCTCATTGAGTGGTTATGGACTCTGTTTTCACAGCAACAGTGACAGGCTAGGTGGTTCACACAGTCTTAGATTCACAGTCAGGACACTGGAGATGTTGTGGGGAGTTGCAGCCAAGGACTCGGTCCCTCTGGTTGGTCCTGCTCTTCTACATTGTTGCCCCCCTCATAGGGAAGCAGTGTTGGAAGCTGCAAGGGATGAAAGAAAGAATATTCGAAGTCTAAGTGAGAGAGGCCTAGAGGGGCTGACACCTAAAAAAGTGCAGCCTGATCTCTGGGCAGTCTCATGTTTGTTTAGAAGCAGGTTCAGAGAAGATGGGCAGGTACGTGGAGGAATGCACATTCATGGCGGTGCGTTGTTGGGGATGTGTTGACGTCTTGTGCAAACAAGGGTGGAGTAACCAGGGGTTATTGCTTGGGGGGCTCCATAGTTCCCGCTAATCAAAGCATACTATCTCTAATCCCTGTTCTTGCCTAACTTTCTGCTTTTGTTTATGAGTAAGGTATTCTAGTTGATCTTGCTAATCTGGCGTAAGGTCTGCCTGCTGTTTTCAGCAGATACTGGTTTCAACATACCAGGACTTTTGCCCTAGAGAAAGGCCCCCTGCCTTTAGCTTGACCAGCAGGAACTCTGGGCACCAAGAACATAGCACTGATAACAAGGAGGGCTGGAGATTCCACACTGCATATCTGTGTTCTGAGCCCAGGCACCTCAATATGGAGGACTCCTTAGTGGGAACCACTGTCCCCACACTGACTCAGTGTCTGGTGCTTCGCACCCCTAACACTACCTTTCCTCCCTCCCAGCAGCTTCCAGGTTAAACACAAGTCTGAACAGGTTTCTATATAATCCATAAAACCATAGGGACCATTAAACTGCAGGGGGCTTTTATTTGGGGACTCCTCAACAGCAAGATGATCCCCACATCTGCATTGACTCACTTCAACCTTGCCAGGTGTGCCATTCATGGAACAGGGAAAACAGAACACGGGGGAGTTGGTGCTTTCTCCTGTTCTAGATTTTACTATCTTGCTTTTACTATCATAGTAATTAAAAGCATCACTGTGACTTTCATTCTGGTTTGTAGCGTTAGTGGGCCACTCTGACACCAGACAACTAAGCTCTCGGCTCAGCTGAACTCCAGACAAAACACACAATCATGATAATCGTGCTTTAAATTTAGATCTACAATCACACATCATTATAAACTATTCCAGCACTTAATAATAAATGCTTTCATCCTTGCAAAATCTTCTAAAAAAAAAAAAAACTAACCCACTGTGTTTGGACAACTTTATTCTCAATTTCAAGTCTCTATAGCCTTGGTCCTGGTCTGAAATCCACTCCCCAAAAATAGAAACATCACTATACACACACACACATTCAGGTTGACATGAGACTCCTCTGTTGCTAATGTCTTATCCATTATACTTCCTTGAATTCCCTGCAGATGCTTTTCTCCCTGTCCTAGGCAACACCCTCATAGGTCTCATCTTACCTGCCATTCAAGGCAGGCTTCTACTGGGGTGAAAATACATGACCAATCCACCCACCACCCTTTCCTTCTTACATCCTTCTTACATCCAAGGTGGCTGCAGTGGGCATACTGCTGATCGCATTGTCCCAGAGCTGGGCATGTGACCCAAGTCAGGCTGGTTACAGGACGCCAGCTCAATGGCTGTATGATGGTTTTAGAGCTGGGCATGTAGACCACCATGAATCACAACCTTCTCAAGGAGTTTTCTGCCCTCGGTTCAAACATGCTGTAAGGAAAATGAGTTAAATCAGACCATTTTTTGCCTTTCGAACAATAGACAGCCAGTAACCTTGAAATATATCAGTTATGTTTTCCACCTTTCTTGACATCCAGCAAACAACAGATGGACCTTGCATGCACAACCGTGTAGCAGCTGTGTGACTGTGAGCACATGACAGTGCACAGGAGGCAAGGAGGCTCAGTTGCTATTTGGCCTTTTAGTCTTTCCATTTTTTGGTCTCTCTGCCTGCCTGCCTGCCTGCCTGTGTATATGGTCCCCTGTTTCAGAATTAAGAGTTGTCAGACACACCTAACGCTCCAAGATTCTTCTTTTTGCCTGAATCAACCTGCCCAGCCTGGGAAGGTTGCACAACCAATGCTCATTCTTCTTCTGGGATCTTGAGTCCTGAAGTCTAAAGGTTATGCTCCCTTGAGATATCTTTGTTGATTGAAAAAAACTATCTGCTATAGGAATAAATAAGGCCAATACTCAAAGGGAACAAAAAAAGAAAGAAAAAAGATTGAAAAGTGGCTCTCTAGGTCCAACTCTATGAAAAGTGTACCTCAATATTGTGGTTACATGAATCAGTAAGTTCCTTTTACTTTGCTTTAAATCAGTCTGAGTTGAATTTGTCACTTGCCGACACAAGAATTCTGATTAATACATACCATAATGTCACCATTGTGTGTTTGTTTAATATAATGCTTTCCTGGGTAATTGTGTTAATGATACAGAGATCCAAGAATAAAACTTTAAAGTGAAGATAATAGCATTCAATTAATTCTGTCACATATTCATTTATTCAATTGTGATTTGAAGGGTAAGATTTGGGAGGGAGCATAAGAAATCGTTTATAGTATAAAGCTCTAATATCTGGATTACAAAATTATAATGTCTATAAGAAAAATATAGTATGGTTATTTCTGCTTGAAAAATAAGTGGTTTTTGCTTCATTTTGAATTTTTGCTTCATTGTCTGTTCTGAATCAGTACTCCACAAATGGAAAATATTAATTCTCATCAGAACCCATTTGAATTCTGACAATAGTTCTGATTTGTATTTGCATCTAATTAGATTCTATTAAAAGGGACAAAATTGGATGTAGCAGAGACTGAAATCCTGGTGAGTACTGAAGAGGTCAGGGAGTCTATAAAAAATTAGAGAAAATGTCTGGTGAACTGGAAGCAGGTAGGTGCTTGAAGAGCATTATGTTTTCACCACCTGAATGTTATACAAGGCATGGACTGAGCAGGATGTCAGCTTTACTGAGCCCTGGGTTCCCAGAAGATGAGGCTTTTCTGACTAAATGAAGCACCCACACATGCTAATAAACACAACATATGTACATTCATATAGACATCACTCAGACACTCAGGCACATATGCACACACTTCCCAGCACCTTTAATAATTAGAAGTCATTGGTCACATTTGGTATCTAAACAGTTGAAATTTTCATTAAAGAAATAACAGAAGTGCTAACGTGTTTACAGATTTACTCATTTCATTGGCCCTTTTTTTAATCTACTTGGGTCTTCAACATCTCTAAAATAGAAATTATACAGTTTACTAAAAATACACCACCCCCATTCCATATTTATGACAACTGCTTTAGCTATTTTATATGAACATCCATATGTTACTGGGGGGGAATAGTTTTATTTGAAAAATCTTCTCAAGAGTCCTGATTTTTTGGATCTGGCATCAATTAATCTCCACGTTTTTAAATAGCTTTGGTTCCAAATCCTGTTGCATATCAGTGTTCTCTGGAGTGCTTTCTTGAGGATCCCAGGTATGGAAACCCCAACTCTATAGCCTTGTCCCTCACAGTGGGGCCTAAGGTCTAGGGGCATTGGCCCCCAGGTGATTCTATGCATCTGAGTGTCTGAGAGACATCTCCAGGAAATGGTCAACAGAACCAGTCCCTTCTTTCTCCATTCATATTATCTAAAATTCTGACTTCTCCTTGATTAAGAATACTTGATAGTGCACTTAAATTTGATTTAATCTTCACATGTACCTTACTCCAATAAAATTTAAATTCTCTCTTTGACCACAGGAAAAAGACTTAAAAGACTGTTTAAAGCCCTCCTCGATGTCTTGTTTTGTTTTATTTCCAGAAGAATGTTCCCTACAGGCCACTAAAACAACCTGACTACTACCCTCCTCCTCTATTTCTTGACCTTTGCTTCCCATGTAGATTTCACTTCTAAGGCTGTTTCATCTTAGCTATAACATTGTCCTTCATCTCCCGCTACCCAAATTTTCAGTCTTTCCTTTGATAGACTTCCCAGGCACTTTGTCTCCCTTTCATCTTTCTGGCCAACATTAATTTTGGGTAATATGATGACCCCATTTTCTTCAAGCTTTCAAGTTAGATGCAATGACCTGTTCCAATCTCAAAATTTCATTTCCTGGAAATTGCCAATATCCACTTTCTGATTGCTCCTGCCTACTTCAAAATGTCTACATAACGGTGATTCACCATCTTGAGAATCCTCAATCCTTCACCTTCCATATGGATATTTTGATCTGACATAGATAGAGTTGATTGAAAAAACAAAGTCAGTGCCTGGTTTGTTATAATGACAGCAATAAGGAATAAGTAATGATCAGAGTGTGAGGGTTCTTCTGAATGAATTCTACCTCAGTCTTCTTCACTTCCAAAGAACTTCACTGCCACTACCTTTCGGTCACATCTCCCATTATCACAGCTTGAACAAGATCATCATTTAGAATTGTCTACTTCTGACACCCTAAATGCCACTCTCTGATTAAATTTTTTTTATCTTCCATGCTCATGTTCCTTTATCATTGCCCACTGACCCTGATTCAAGCTAAATCAACCTGAACATGAAATCAGCTTTTCAGGAGTTTTCACAGGAAATCAAATTACTTCAGCATGTCATCATTTCTGAGCTTATTGCAAAAGAAAGGCCGTATCACATATGGTGTATTACTGTTTTCTAGATCCTCCCCCAAAGTCTATCCTCACTCCCAGTGCTTAGCCCAGACTCTTCTCTCTGATACCCCCTCCTTTTCCTACTCAAGATTTCACTCAAGTTCTCCCATCCCTTGTCCAGGAAAGATTCATTTTGTTTCCAGTTCCTACATCCAAAAACCGTAATATCCATTGAAAACAGTATTTGTGGCTAACATCTGCAAAATTTGGGGAATTCAAGACAAAAAAAGCATATTGGTAGGGGTGGAACCAAAAGGAAAAGAAAAGGGAATAGAGCAGCTCAAGGAAAGGGATTTGAAAATGAATCCAGCTCCAACCAAGGTACGTATGTACTCTCTGCACTTCATGTTCACAGAGGTCACTAGTCCTCATGTATCATTGGTCCTAGTGTCTGAAAGTTTTAGAACTCACTATAATTGAAGCATGACATGGTAGATGTTCATCTTTAGGTTTTACACCACAGAGGTTAGGTGCAAGGACTCTAGAGTTCAAATGTCTCCTTACTATTCCTGAATGAGTTACTTAACTCTTCTGTGCCTTGTCTCAAAAACGGGAATAATAAGAGAAGCTGACCCCAAAGGTTGTAGTGTGGATTGCTTAAAATCATTTCTACACAGCTCTCAGCACAAGATCTAACTGTGTACGTCCTAAATGAATTTCAGTTTTAGTAGGATCAGCACTGATCATAAACCTTTCTTCTGAAGGGCTCACAATAAAAATAGCATTTTATATTAGTAATTTCATATTTATCTTTTATTTTGATTACCTCCATGTGGACCAAAAAACTAAACGAAATAAAGATACAGCGTGAGAAGTGATAGGATGGATTGTTGGATTTTAAATTAAAAAAAAAAATGAAAATTAGTACAAGTTCTCTGCCCTGATGAATTATTGCAGAAATTGACTCCAAAATCAAATCAATATTGTCAAGGAAAATGAAAGGTCATCCACTTTACTCTCCAGCCTTCACTTGGGTCTGCATCCAACTTATTCTTGACAGACAATGATAAATTTTTATTCTAGAAGTGAACATGTATATAGAACTAAAACTAACTAGTCACAGGCACAGAACTGACAGATGTCCCTGTCTTTTCTATACAATTTCATTCCCAAATTATCACTCATGACTTAGAAAGAATGAAAAATAATTGCCAAAAATGCTGTACCTTTATTCAGATATTCTTTGCAAAGCTTACATTATTTTCTCAGTTTGCGAAATGCTTGGACTAGTATAGTCTTGTCCATCTAGATTTGTAAATATCTCAATGTTAGACTATTATTGCCATTTCAAGAATGGACCTTTAGCAATCACCCTTAGGATGCTAGGGGATTGCTCCGGTTGTGGTGTGGAGGAAGAATGAGCAGGCAGGAGGACTTGCTCTGAGGCAAAGTGATGACAACTGAGAAATGCTGAGAGCCCAAACTAGGCTGTGTGGTGTGGAGGGAGGGATGGAATGAAAGAAGGGAAGTAGGGCTACCAGAAATGGTGACAAATTCTTTTGTTTAACTTTTTTACATTTATTAACCTTCAGTGGAAAAAAAAGCAACAACTTCCCATCTGGCAATTCATTGTACTTACGTAATACTTCACGAGAGTATGAGGAATGGATTCATGGACCCCCTCCGTATCTGCACCCTTTCCTTGATGACGTCAACCAATCTCACAATTTTAAGTATCTATACAGTGAGTGTTGTAAATTTTCTATGTCTAGCATTTTTCTCCACCAGCATCCCCTATATCTCCTTTGACCTATCCTGCCTCTTCTTTCTCTCTTCACTTCAGAAATTTCTGTTTATTAATGCCCAATAGTTTTATAAGCATTTTACTTAGTCAAATCATCTCTATGCAAATACCCCACACTTGTCTTTGTCATTCCAACTTGTTTTACTACACATAATTCCCTGAACTCCTCCCATTATGCTGTAAATGTCAGAATTTTGTCTTTCCTTATGACTGAATAATATTCCACAGCATGAATGTACCACGTATTCTTGATCCAGTCATCTATAAATGGACTTTGAGGTTGTTTCCATGCCTAGCTAGGGTGAATAGTGCTACAATAAACATTGTAGAGCATGTTGTTTTTTGAGTTGATGGTTTTACCTTCTTTGGGTAGGTACCCAGGAGTCATATGCTATTTCCATTTTCACTTTTTAAAGGTAATTCCTAATATTTTCCAAAATGGTTGCACCAGTTTACATTCCCACTATGTGTGTAATAGGGTTCCTTTTTCCCCACGTCCTAGCCAGCACTTGTTGCTGGATTTTATTTTAGTATGTGCCATTCTCTTTGAAGTGGAGACACATGTCCACCTCTGCTTTTGCTTTTCTATGCCTTTGGACGTGGGAAGAAGGTAGTGGAAGATTTGACATAGTGTAGAAGGAGTTCATGAGGAGAACATATGTTCAAGTCCCAAGTTTTTGAAGCAAAGGAAATTTCCAGTGAAAAGATATTCTTGTGAGAAGGAATGAATAAGCCCCTGGCAGCCTGCAAAGCCATTTCACCTCCCACGACATGGAAGAAGAAACACATGAAGGAAGTCAACAGGAGCGCACAATTGCTGCTTGCCCTGCTGGGCCATGGCCCATAGAGGGGTACTTTGTACTCCCTTCTGGAGAGACTTTAGGTGGAATAAACCCTTACCATACCAAGTCCCCATATAATAGGCCAACCTAAGGGGTCATAGAAATACATTGAAGCCACAAAATGGGTCAAGAACATTGGTGGTAGACATTAACCACCATGTTTAACGTGGTTTGGATAGGAAAATACTTCCCAGGTTCCAAACATACCATAACTTATAAATACTTCCATTCATCCATTTTTAAAAATTAATATAATTTATAATGGAGCTTTCTAAAAAATATCTGGAATTATTAACTTGAAAAAGTTTTTAAGACTAAACAGTAGATCTTATCTGGCAATTGAGATAAATTGGTTGCTTTGGCTGAGGACAAGATCTATGGCCAAGATTTCTGGCAGCTCAAAGTGGTGAAAGGAACATCTACTGGGGTCTCCCAGGGGGCAGTGGCCAGAGGACTGGAGTGTAAGGAGGGGGCTCGTTGCTAAGGAGTCCCGGCATTGCATGTTCTTCCACATCTCTGGGCCTCCTTTCTTCTCCATAACAGGTGGCAGGGTTGGGCCTCCACTGGTGGCTCAGGCAGTTGAGCACAGTGCTGTGAAGCTGTCTGCAGCCTCTGCAGTGCCAGTTCGATCTCAGCTGGCCAGAGAGGGTCCCACATGACGCAGCAGACCTCTCCTGTCATGCCTGCTGCTCCCCTCAGCAGTGTATTTCATCAGTCTGCCTGTTCTGTTCCCCGCTCTGTCTCTGGTGAATCCTCTTACCCTCCCATGCATCTGGCCTGTACCCTGGTTCTTGCATAAATAAATAAATAAATCTTTAAAAAAAAAAAGTGGCAGTGTTGGCTAGATCCCCTGAAGGTCATTTTAAATTTGAGAATGTTATGATTCATTCTTGACTCTCTGATCAATAGTTTTAAATATCTAAGTTGATTCAGGTATTTAATCAATCAGGGGAATTTATCACAAATTTCTTTATATAAAGCATACTGAGTAACTCAACTGATAATGTGCATATTACCATTTTACAAGGGATACAAAAATGCACGTTAATTTTTCTTGAATCTTCCCTTTTAAAACTTTAGGACAAAAATTAAGGGAAATTCAGTAGGTCCTATAGTGTGTTCCATTAGTTTTACAGAACACAACCTGAATTTTCTTTTTTAAAAAAGAAGAGTTTTCAAGCATCTATTAAGAAGAAATATTTGTAATGTACACTAGCTTACCAGGCTTCTGGAAAGATAGGTCACAAGAACTTTTTAAAACTGAGTTTCCCAAAAATTTTCATTTGCACAAAACAAATTAATACCTACTATGCAATGGACTGAATGTTTGTGTCCTTCCAAAATTTATATGTTGTACCCTAACTTTCAAAGTGATGGCATTAAAAGTGGGAACTTTCAGGAGTGATCAGGTCATGAAAGGGGACCCCTCACAAATGGGATTAGAGTGACCCCAGAAAAGAGACTCCAGAAAGCTCTCCCTCTCTTTCTGAGGCCACAGCAAGAAGTTGGCAGTGTGCAACCAGGAAGAGGGCCCTGCTTGAAAGCAGCCACACTGGCATTCTGATCGCTGACTTTCAGCCTCCAGAACTGTGAGAAATAAATTTCCATGGTTTACAAGCCACCCATCTGGCATTTTGTTACAGCAATCCAGATGGACTAAGACTACATATACCTAGTTTTCTGAAAAGCTTGCTTTAGAATACACTAATGTTCCATTTCTCTTTCCTCCTTTCCAGCAAAATGTTCAAGACATTCAACCACAAATATTGCTTCTACCTCTTCACCATCCACTCTAATGGGGCTGTGGGTTTCTCCACTCCAGTGAAAAATCTCTTATCAACATCAACAGTAGTTCTGTGTCTGGCGCCACCTTCCTGGGTTGATCAACAGAATTAACAGATGGCTGCTCCTGCATTCTAGAGGCATCGAATTCCCTTCTATGGCATTCATCTCACTGTGCTTTCTCATTTTCCTCTTCCATGGCTGCTCTCCTTCCCACCTTCTTCTTCTGACACTTCCACACTGCATTGCTTCTAAATGGGGCCATTCCTTTGTGCACTGGGACTGTTCATCTCTGCCCTCTCCTCACTGACCCAGGGTCACCTCCTTCCCCCATTGTTAAATGCCATCTCTGAGCTGATGGGTCCACAGTTTTGTCTCTACTCCAAGATATGCCTTTTGGCAGTTTCTTCTTTGCCATTTCCCAGCATGCCCCTAAGAATTCACTTCACTCTTTCCTATGTCAGGCATTTTGCTATCTCCTGTTTCAGAGAAATTCCTTGCATGAGTTTTCCTATTCCTTATTGTCACTTAAATGTCACTTCTTTAGAAAGTAAGTTACTGATGGCCCCATCAAACATAAACACCTTGTCTGTCATTCTCAATCATATATCCTACTTACTGCCTTTTTAGCACTCATTATATGCTATCAATAGTTTGCTTATTTATTTGTTATTTTGTGTGTCTGTCTCCTCCATTAGAACAAGTGCTGAGACCATCTCTTCTGTTCTCCCAAGTGCCCAGCACAGTGTCAGGCACAAAGCAGGTAGCTACCCAATCCATTTTGTTGGATAGATTAATATGGTTCTTCAGGTTTCTTAAGCTAAGAGTCCCCTCATACTATTTTCTGGTGATAGGGTTTAGAATATAGTCTACTTCCTAGAGAAAACAGTTAACAGAGCCCCAAGATGTCTCTCTCAAAGAGCAAAGCTTTGAGGAACGTTTGGGAAAGAAATGGATGGGAGTCAACTTCTAGTCTACTTCTCCGAAGAATTCCCTAAATGCCAATTCTGTTACACAACATTTTCCAAAGATGACTACAAAAACACCTATCTTCCATCTTCTTCTTGAAATGTGACTTTGACCTATGGACACCTGAATCTCCGTGGGTTTATAACTTCAGCAGAAATGACATATGTCATATACATTCTTGACGAAAGAAATAAGGGCTTTCTCATAAAAGCTGTACAGCTTTACCTGGTACTCTTAGAACCTCATTCTCTTTCTATAAGAAAGCCCATGCAACCACAGCAAGGCCAATGCAGGCATTCTGACCAATAGTTTCAGCTACAGTAGAAGTTGAAAGCCAGGAGCAGCCATTAGACTTATAAGTAAGGACATCTCAATTATTCCAACCATCTAATTATCAAGTAAACCCAGATTTTGAGTCTTCCTGCTTGCAGTTCCTATAATATAACAGAGATAAGGTATCCCCTGTCCAAATTCCTACAAAATATGTGAGCATAATAGCTTTTAGGGCTCTTAGGTTGTTGAGGTTTCATTAGCAGCAGTAGTTACTGGAACACCAATAATCTGTGTTGCTAGTTGTAAGATGATTTTTATCCTTTCAGTGTCAGTTGGACAGGTGGCAGTATTGACCAATGGTGAAAATTTGCAAACAGGAGTTATTTTTGGAGAGCTAAACAGTTCTCTTACTTCTCTATAAAGGGAACATGCTGTGGTGAGCTAGGACTGACCTGCCTGTTGAAGTACACGAAGTCAATGTGGACATTTCTTTCCAACCAGCCACAGTGGAAGGAGTTATACTATGGAAATTGGCAAATACTACAAACCCCCAGAGAACCACCAGTATACCCCAGGAAAAGTGTCACCTTACTTCTTGAAATATAAAGATATTTCTGCCTTGTAGGAAAAAAAACCAAAAGTGTTGACTATTGGTAGTATTTCTTCTAAGGCTGTTTTAAGATCTGTGTGTGATTAAGACCCGTCTTTCTAACAGCTACTTGTGATCCTCACACTTGCAGGTTAACAGTGCTGTCTAATATTCTCTGTAAGGACTTCCACAAGGACTGTGCCATCCCTGCAGTGTCTCTGACACACAGTTATAGGCAGAGGTGGATCAAGCCCAGATGTTCTGGGAGGGCTGAATGCCCCTTGCTTCCCTACAAGAGAGGGGTTTTCCTCACTCCACTTAATGTGTGCTGTGGGAAGCCCCCCTGCTGACCTCAGCTGGGCCACCAGAAGCACGGCCAGCAGGCTCAGTATTGTCACAGTTTCAGATGGTGCAGCACAGCAGGCGCCTATATGCTCCTCTCTGAGATGACTGAGGACCACACGTGTGACTGAGACGTGCACAAAAGGATGAATCAGGCCCATGAGTTGAGCTTTTAATGAAGGCTTGTGGAATTGCATTACTAAGTCAATTCTCCCTGTGCATAAGTGGTGCTTTCTGGTGCCACTTAAATAAATTACATCCCTGGTGTGTTATTTGCATAGCTATTAAATATCTTCATTATTAGGATAGGAAATTGGACAGCAAGGGATGAAATATCCAGCCCTATGTTAGACTGACA